ATATCACACTACTCTAAAGACCTTTAAAAGTAAAGAATAAAAAGAAATAAGAAAATTTACAGTGAGTGGAGATTCGAAGTCGCTTTGGTATAAAATACCATTCAAAATCAAAAAGCAATCCGAATCGCCGATAATTGCTCCGGGTCTGTTTATTCCCAATAGGTTTGATGTCAGGTAGGAAAAACCTGAGTAAGGTACCCGGGGCCCAATTTGTTTAAAGATGAGAACGCATCTGCAACCCTACGGTGTTGCAGATGCGTTCCAGCGGTTATCACTTACCATGCGGTGAACCGTCAGTTCATTTGCCACCATCCCACATAAAACATCAAGCAAAACGGATCCCACATGTCAAGTTATAGAACGCTTGTCTGTCTCCGTCTAGCATCACACTGAACACTGAAGAGCAATTTAAATAACTTGAGCAGCACTTTATCCTGGCACCTCTGTAAAGTATACCTGTTAGCTATTACCGTCACGGAAACGATATTGTTCTCGTTCGAAAGCTTTCCACTTGGATATAACGTCTTCCGCAGACGCCCTAGTGAGGTGGAGTGTGCGCGCTTATTATCGATACTGTCCATAATCGTTAATTGCACTTTTTTTTGCGGTTCACCTGATGTCAAGTGATAATCGCCCGCCCATGGACATTTGCAACACCCGTAGGGTTGCAGATGCGTTGCCACCTCTTAATAAATTGGGCCCCGGCTACCTCACTCACCTGACGAAACGCAGACGTGCTACACTTCTACTTCACGCCGGTGTTCTGTGCGGTGGTACTAACCCGAACGGACCTGCCCATTCGTGCAACAGCGAACACGGTTGGGCAACGATACGATTTTCTTTAAGATAATCGTCGTATACTAAATAATACTGGACGTGGTTCGCGAGACCACTAGTTTCTTTCGCTTCTATTTTACTGTTTTGTCAAAGTAACCCGTGCTAAAGACCAGTCAATATATTTGATTATTCAATTTTATGCGATCTGCGCTGAACCATTTTCAAAATTCACTATTCTTTGGTGTCTCAGTGACTCAGTTGTTTAGCTTCGGCCCCGGAATTCGGGGGTTCGATTCCCACACGGGACAAGTATTTGCGCGCCCCACGGATAATTCACATCAGGTAGACATTCGTTTAAAAACCTACCTAGCCAATATCACTGATAATATAATTCGGATATCGTGCCGACCCTACATAGGTGAGGTAAGAGTAAAAAAAAAGGTTATTCAGCAATCAATGCGTAGCTTGCGTCGATTAGGTACAATATCGATACCGATATTGAAGCGCCCGACACTGCTCTCACTAGCCACTCTCCCTCACCCCCGAGCAGATTTACAACCGGACCAACCCTTTACGACACCTGCTCTACCGGCTAGAGAAAGGACGCGATACGCTGTCGGCAACACTAAAGTTTTATATTTCCTCTAAACGTAACGACGGGTTTGAGCAAACGATACGTGGAGATTTACAGGATTTTACCAACTCAACATAGTTCGCAATGACAAGGGCCTTGCACCGATCACGGTAGAGTCGCTCTACACTTGAATCATTATATTTGTTAAGGCATTCAACTATACATTTCCCTAAATCCTAAAGATTTCATTTACAATTTTAATTTAATTTGGAAATGCTTTTTATTCAACAAATACAACAGCAATCGGTTCACAACGCCAGATTTGAACCTGTTGCCAACCTTGAGAAAGTCAGCCTTCACTTACCTTACCCACCGAAAAACAAAGGTGATGACGTTCAGGTGTCCGTGGCGCAGCCGTAAAGGTATCGGCTTCGGTGTCGGGGTTCGTGGTTCGATTCCCACACGGGACAACTATTTGTGTGACCCGCAGGTAGTTGTTTTGCATCTGGATGTTTGTCCGTGTGAAATTTAGGTTTGTACATCGTCCTTACAACACAGGATAATGTTATACGGAAGTAAGGGCAATGTTTAAAAAAATGATGTCCGGACGCTAGCTTTCAATTCAATCAAATCAAATCATTTATTTTCATTTTTCATTCATCGAATTAAGAAACACATTTCATCGGTCGACAGCGATGTTTTGCATCTACCACCGTTTCGTAATCGGGTTCCTCTAACGGAGAAGAATAAGGAGAAAGTTCCTCTATTTTTGTCATATTTTTTCCTCAAAACATTGAAATGTTAAACATATTTCAGGTGTTATTTATATATATATTTTTATGGAGAAAAGGGGCAAAGGAGAAGAAGGTCACTGATTGTTCGTGACCACCGCCGCCCATGGATACCTGCAAGACTAGAGGGTCTACAAATGCGTTACCGGACCAGAAAATGTCGTTTTATCCGTTTTTTCATGCAATACAAATATCCTATAAAAATATGTTATGGTAGCTCGGGTGGTAATCGGGCGGTTCCGAAAGCAAAAGACCCCGGTTCGAGTCCTGATCATTATTTTTTTTTTTTTTTTTAGTCCAGATGATCGTTTTCTTTCTTTCATTTTGTTTTCGTATTCTCTAAGTTCCTTCTGTTGTGAAAACAAACATCTGAGCAAAGCTCGGTCATCCAGATACTAACTATTGTACAGGCCACTAAGTCTTTCGTTTCGAGCTAAGGATCCTCAAATTATGAACAAACTAGCGGCCCGCCCCGGCCTCGCATGGGTGCAATGTATTATACATATAAACCATTCTCCTGAATCATTCTATTTCGTAGAAAAACCTCATCAAGATCCATTGCGTAGTTTTAAAGATCTAAGCATACATTTGGAAAGTCAGACAGCGGGACAACTTTGTTTTACACTATATCGTGATGCACTAAACAATCAACCTCGTCAGCATATTTATTGGGTGAAATAGATGGTGCAGAATCTATTACGCTGAATTACAGTCATCTTTTTCTATTTTCCTCGAAACCATTGTAAGAAAGCTCCAAACAGATCGCCACAAATTTTACAGCTAACGAATGAATTTAATACACCATATGGTTCAGAATAAAACCAGTCAAGTGCGCCTTTTGAAAACTAAAACTGAGTTATAGACAACCTAATTTTCTTTATATCGAAAAGCTGAGGAATTTAACTTATTCCAGCACCACGAGAATGAACTATCTTAATATTCGAGTATTCATAAATTCGAGAAAGTTGTAAAATGTAAGGTTTTGGTACAACTTTTAACTACTTTAAAAGTTGGGCCACAATCTTAAACTTGTATAAGTAATATTGACTTTTTGACTTTACGCGAATATTATAAATATTAAATGAAACTAGTTTAAGTATTTTATCGCGTTTTTATTTTGATTTTGAAATTTCCTACGCTTCGAAACCTTTCCAGCGTTCATGGTCGCGGCCCAAAGTTAATTTTTACACGTCTTGATGTCATAGTTAACCCCGGCTACCGTCAATTATTTTGTTGTTTATTTTTATCCCGATCTACGCAAAAGGAGCTTATGGTATCTTGAGGTTTAGCAGCGTGGGTGTGCTGGATTTAATTTTATAAATTATGGGATCCCAAGCAGATGATAAATCCCAACCATCTTCTCTATCGAAATTAGGATGTTCCTTTATATCTAGAATCATCCTTGGAATTAATCGGTGTTCTTTTGCGAGGATTTTCGGCTGATCAAATCTAATGTAGTGGTTGGGACGGTCTAAAATATGCTGTACAAACTACATCAAGATTTCTGCAGTTTGTGATCATATTGCAGATTATCAGCCGGAAGCCAAACGCCAACACGATGCTGATTTTCAGTACTAAACTTCATGGCACAGCGCTATAACACTAGTATTATGTTACTTATTAAAAAAATAGGGCGTAGCGATCCGGTGCGCTTTATTTTTTTTCTTAAACATTGGCCTTAGAATAAGATGGGAAGGTTTATATGTATAATTCCTGCATAATATAGTTAGTAGAGAAACACTTATAATTTTAGAGGTTTCTAATGCGATGTCGAAAATAAACATTCAGCATTGCACCCGTGCGAAGCCGGGGAGTATCGCTAGTTTAAATATAATTGAACTAATATTAAAGAGACTAACAACTGATCCAAACCGTGTGTTCTGTCCAATGTGGCTCCGTCACGCCATCTGCTACCGAGCTTCGAAACTGCGCACTTTGCTGAATATCCCTCGTATTTTTTTGTGCAAAGCCCGTTGTTGCCGACATCTGGTACGAGGGATAGACCGCGCCTCATTAGGTACAGTCGGAGCGGAAAGTGACGTGATGGATTGCCACCGCAAATCCCGAGGACTGTACTTGAAGAGTCAACAGATAGGTACATATGCATTGCCATATCTTCATGAAGAAAGTACGTGATCTTTTTACTTGAACTTCATGGAAAAATTGACTTCTATTTTTACAATTAAGACTTATACCCCAACTCGTCATTATCTTTATCTGGTGCGTGTATATACTATCGACCCACCCCGGCTTCGCACGGGTGCAATGCATTATACATATAAACCTTCCTCTTGAATCACTTTGTCTAGTAAAAAAACCGCATCAAGATCCGTTACGTAGTTTAAAGATCTAAGCATACATAGGGACAGACAGACAGCGGGACGACTTTTATTTTATACTATGTAGTGTACTGGGTAGTCGCAACGTCCATAACAACCTACAAATCAATTGTAGTCTTCCCTTCGAAAACATTGCCTCCTTACTGTAGGATAACATCATATGTAAGGACATTTAACATACATAAAATCTAAAAGGGTGGTTTTTAGATGAAGCATTATATCTCTTTAGTAGCGTAATTTCATTTGAGAATACAAGGCTATGTAAAATTTAATGAAACCCTCTCCTCTGTTTCAGAACGCACACGAAAAGGACAGGTAGCATACAACTATGCTCCCGTCCCGTTCCCTCGCGAGTGACCGCCGCGCTGCAACGTCATCAATGTCAGCCCCGGGGGTGATTAGAGAGCGTTCCGAGCGAGCACTCGCCCATTAGAAGTGTTTGTGAGCGACTGCCCAGTGGTGTGACAAGTGTTGAGTGCACTAGTTGGTACAAAATTGCGGTGTCCACGTGTTTGTGAGATGCGAGACGGGTCCAGGCCCGGCCCGAGTGGTGGCTCTACGGGGCACGCGTACGACAAGGACTACGAAGGTATTTTTAAACCTATTTATCAGCAAATAAAGAAAGTTAAACTTAAACTTGACATTATTACTACATAATACAAAACAAAGTCGTCCCGCTGTCTGCCTGTCCCTATGTATGCTTAGATCTTTAGAACTACGCAACGGATCTTGATGCGGTTTTTATACTAGATAGAGTGATTCAAGAGGAAGGTTTATATGTTACATTGCACCCGTGCAAAGCAAGGGCTGGTCTCTAGTAATACATAAATTACACAAATACTCGTCCCGTGCGGGATCGAACCCATGACCCCCGACGCCGAAGCCAATAGCTTCGCATCAGCGTCACCGAGTCATATATAAAATAAAATATATGCACGAATAAGGAAAATTTCAGATAATTTGCTAGCACTGAATTTTTTGTGGCGTTACTGCAAATTTTTTAATCCTTTTGGCAATACTGTCCCATCATTTATACCCGGTTCCTATATTTAACGAACGGCCGTTAGTTACACAGCTTCGTAACTTTCATAACGACTTGTAGATAAGTTAATTCCTATATTATAAAAACGAGGCGTTTCCCTTACGAGCCGTTGCTTTACCTACGGAAAGTTGGTTACTAGCGTTCCGTTAATCTACAAGTCCTTATGAAAGTTTCGAAGCTATATAACTAACGGCCGTTCGTTGAATAAAGGAACCGGGCATTAGTCAGCCAGTGTATGTTCAGTAAACGTCATTCGTGACAGATATCGGGCCTCGTCTTATTAGTTGAAAGTATGTGTGTAAATATTTAATCTACGTAAAAATTTATACTTCTTCGGCGTGACATAAGAAAAACAAAAAACTTTATCCCCTATACCAATAATCTTTGCTTGTGAAAAAGACAATAAATGCTATTGATGACGGTGTAATTTAATAACTGTCAAATATAGGTAGATGTCAAAAAGTTGCTACGCGTCGTAACAATTTTACTCCCATAATTTATTCCGAACACGCTAACTAAAAAGAAGTATAACTTCAAAAACAAAACTGACTTCAAATGCTTCACTCAATATACATTATCTATTTCATGTTGAGTAGCTCTCTGATGTATATCCAGAATCCAATAATTAATATGGAACCACATTTGAGCTAAACCGAGGCTAGACGAGATTAATTGACGAGAAGAATTGACAAACATAAAAAATACAACCAAACCAATGATGATGATGAAACCAATGACAACCTACCTATTTTAAAGTCGGTTGGAGATAAAACAAACGATAAAACCTAATAAATTAAAATATTCTTTTAACAATGATTTAATACAAGAAATCATTAGTCCACCGCTCCCAAAGAGCCTTTTCTTATCTAAAATGTAAGTATTTCGTGACAATCACGTAAAAAAGAGAGCCTATACAATTCCTTCATAAATATAGAAACAGTTTAACCCTGCTTCCATCTGAAAAGAAAAGAAAAAGAATCTGAGTTACAGTTACAATTCTCGTAATAGATTTATCGGCCGTTCCCAATAATCAAATCGCAGGTTTTTTTTTTTAATGTGAAAAGTTGCCAAACGAGCAGACGGTTCACCTGATGTTAAGTGAATACCGCCGCCCATGGACATCTGCTATACCCGAGGGTTTGCAGATGCGTTGACAACCTTTTTGGAAATTGGGCTCCGGCTACCTCACTCAACAAACGAAACGCGAAAGTATTTGTCATACTTCCACTTTACGCTGGTCTTCCGTGAGGTCGTGGTACTTACCCGGACGAGCCTGCCCATTCGTGCAACAGCCGAGGCTGCTGCGTGGCTCTACCACCAGCGATTAAAGATAGATAGCTATCCTCAACCGTTAGTATCTGTCCTAATATGACAGATAGGTGTTTTCTGTCTCCATTAAACCTACTGTTAGATAAGCCGCTTATCCGAGCCCTCTTAAAACGCAATGTAACAATCATCAGTAACTTCGCAACAACGTTTATCCCTAGTGAGTTATCTGTCCTCCGTAGTCCTCCCATCGACAAATAGCATCTAGGGATATGATTTCCTATCATTGATAGGTTTATAAAAAAAGAAAAATAAGTAAAGTAACAGCCTCTACATGTCCCACTGCTGGGCAAAGGCCTCCTCTATATAGAGGGTATCAGGGCATAGTCCACCACGCGGCCCCACTGCAGATTGGCGGACTTCACATATCTTCGAAATATTTTTTTTGTTATTATTTCGAAAATATGCAGGTTTCCTCACGATGTTTTCCTTCACCGCGGAGCACGTGATAAGACAGCACTTAAAGTTAAAACTTCATTGGTGCCGGCACTGGGGATCGAACTCAGGTTGCTCGAGTATATTGAATTAAAGGCGAGCGCCCGGACACTGAGCTATCACGGCTCGACGGCTTATAAAAAAACTAGACAAAAAATTAAAGATAAGATTTCTATCTCTAGTAAGGCAAAACCAGAGATAGATTGAATATTAGGAACGGCTTTAAGTCTTTATCCTTAAAATTCTCAGTAGTGAAATGCATTGATCTGAATAATGAGCCAAACTATATCTTTACCTCAGAGGTAAACAACATTATGCGACAAAATATAAATTTAACAGGAGAGGCAAAACTGCGTAGAGTAAATCATTGAAGCATGATATAGCATATTGATTATGATGTCATGATAGAAAGAAAGAAAGAAAGAAATTTTATTAATTGGGCGTCGTAGGATTTAGTGGCCAAAAGTATTGTTGAAAACTCTGAATTGATCATCTCATTTAAAGAGTTTACCATTCCTTTTGGCAACTCAAATAATATTTGAAAAGCCATTTGACAGCTGATTAGTTAACTTATACGATAATCAGTGTTTCAGAAACCGGGCGTTAGACTTTGACGTCGATTTGGCAAACAAATCTGTAACGGGTATAGTTTTAGCAATCTCATTCTGTGTAGAAACCTTTCAGACACTTTTGACCATCATAGGCTACATAAATACCCTATAAAGTCCTCGTAGACCACCTAATCAATACGAAATTGCGCCCTCCTCCAATTTACTATATCAATTACTCCGTCCGATCAATCAAAACTTCATGCAGCACTGTTTACGAATCGAAATGATGTATTGGATATTTCGCTGCTTACCTACAAATATAGATATTTACTAATCGAAACGAGAGTTGAGTTAAACGAAAATGTAGAGTTGATTTTATAGCATTCAATTATGTAGACTACTCTATCAAAGTTTCTATAACGTAACACATATCCATTACTTAATACAAATATGTTTTTTAACGAAAATAGTTGACTAAAGATAAACAAATGTGGTAAAAGATATTTATAAACATTATCTTAAACGATTCTCTTAGCCTAATTGTACCTACAATGGTAACTATCAACGTTTGTGATTTTATCACATGTTAACATTTGAGATCCATGAGATTGTCCCAACACAATACTATTTTCACAAGGAACACAGACAGTATCGGAACCAACGAGGACTCTACCTGCAAACCGGCTGAAATGTAGAGTCGGCGTTACAATAATTTCGTGAGAACATTCCAAATGGTAGACATTTCAATAAAACAATGCAAGAAAAAAAAGTAAAGTAACAGCCTATACATGTCCCACTGCTGGGCAAAGGCCTCCTCTATACAGAGGGCATCAGGGAATAGTCCAGCACGCGGCCCCACTGCGGATTGGCGGACTTCACATATATTCGAAATATATATTTTTTTTTATTATTTCGAAAATATGCAGGTTTCCTCACGATGTTTTCCTTTACCGCGGAGCACGTGATAAGTCAGCACTTAAAGTTAAAAACTTAATTGGTGCCGGCACCGGGGATCGAACTCAGGTTGCTCGAGTATTTTGAATTAAGGCGAGCGCCCGAACACTGAGCTATCACGGCTCTTATGAGCCATGCAAGAAACATATTCATAATATAGCTCTTTCCCTTCACATCTTTCTTTTTCAATTGTTATGTGCAATAAAAACGTTTGATAAATGTTCTCCTTAAGGTCTATGTAAAATATTGTAAGAAACATTAACATTAGTTTTTATTACAAAACTCCAAGTCACGTTCGACTATATTAGAAAATATTCAACTTTAACTTTTCTAATAATGCCTTCAAATCTAGGAGGGTTTATATTGAGAATAATAATACTAGCTGCTGCCCGCGACTACGTCTGCGTAGAATAGGCTGAAGGCGTAACATTCAGACAGAAAGGCATATATACATAATATAATTATGTATATAAATTATAGCGTATGTGTTATTCTGACGTTATAAGCAATGTTATTGTACAGTTTCATTAAAATCCATTCAATAGTATTTGCATGAAAGAGTAACAAACATCCATACATACAAACTTTCGCCTTTATAATATTAGTAAGGATATAATTTATAGTACTTGCATTATTTAGGGCAAGCTTCAAAGTTTTAGAATTTATATGGTGTTATTATAATCATATTGTGTCTACTAATCTTACTACTAACAAAAGCAGTAGATACTAGTAGATACTATTAGATAACAGTAGACACTACTGCTTTTGTTAGTACTAGGATTTAGTATACAATTGATAAAAAATAGTGTATACAAATGTATTTTATTGTATTTGTAAAACTAACAGCTATTAAGAATTACTTAAGAAGCCACTTACTTACACGCCGCATTTAGTAGTTTAATAAATTGTACGGAAATGTACATTTATATTATTTATTAATAATTTTATTACTTTTCATAATTTACTTGCTGATACGATGAAATAGTAACGTAACGCATTTACATACAGAAATTCATATATTAGACATACTACTTTGATATATCACCTATATACGGTGATAGGGCCACGCAGCAGCCTCGGCTGTTGCACGAATGGGCAGGCCTGTCCGGGTAAGTACCACGACCTCACAGAAGACCAGCGCAAAGTGGAAGTATGACAAATACTTTCGCGTTTCGTCTGGTGAGTGAGGTAGCCGGAGGCCAATTTTCAAAAGCTTGTCAACGCATCTGTAACCCTCGGGTGTGGCCGATGTCCATGGGCGGCGGTATTCACTTAACATCA